GTAGTTAGGCTCCTTCAGGTCAAGAACTCCCAGGCCACCTGGACCCTGCTAAAGCCTGAGGCTTTCCAGAAGGGATGGATACCTTCTATACTATCATATCAGAAATGCCTGTCATAGGCAGACTGAAGAATTCCCTTTGTGTACTGTGTATCCGGGATTCTGCGTACTCAACTCAGACTAGCAGTGGAAAATGTGGCATTCAGCTAATCAATGAGTTTAAGTCACAGCCCAGAACGCCCTTTGAAGATTGACAGTTCAGTGTTCCCCTTGGGCAAATTCCAGAATTACATCAATGACTAAAACATCTCAGAGGCTGTGGATTTTAGCAGTTAGACATACATGGTTCTGAAGCTATGGGCACCTCCTCTCTAGTAGTCAGTGTAAGGATACAGGTTCTCAGGCAACATCCTCTCCTTTCATTTGCCAACCAGTGACAACTCACCTCTAAAGAGAGCAAAATTCACCATCAGCATGGATGTCTTCCCATCCAGGTCTGAGACCACTTCCTTGATCTTCCCTTGGGTCTGTTTCCTCACGTAGTCATGGATGAGCTTCCTGGCCTCACGAGGCTGCTGGAAGTCTGCTGTTAAGGCCTTATTCTGGTACAGTGCCCTTGCCTTCTCCTTGAACTCTGCCAGCATCTGCAGGTACTTTTCAGTAAGCATGGCACTACCTGTGCGGATCTGTGAGCCTCTGTAGGAGTTGCCCAAAGCCCTGGTGGATGTCCGACTCAAAGGTCTCTGTGAGATTGAACTTGAGACCTTCTAGAATCTCTTCCAGGATGTTGTCTTTTGCTCCCAGGGCCAGGGAGGCCAGACAATTGAAACTCTAAGTGCAGAAAAAAAACAATGCTTTTATCTGGAATCTCTGAAGCCAGATTCTTGAGGAGGCTGAAGGCAAAGTCAGGGTTGATGGAAACCAGTTTTAGACTTAACAGTTGTCTTCAAGTGTCTTGGCCTTTGTGGACTTCAGTATCTCTTCCCAGTGGGACACCTGAGCAGCAGAGGACAGCAGGGCAGATCCTAGCCAACAAAATTACCAGAGCTACAATGAAGGCCATCTTCTCTGTTTTCCAGGATGAAAGGAAAACATCCTTTGAGTCTGGGAGGACCAACTGGTGCTCTGACCATCTCCTAGTTCTCCCACCTAGTGGGTATTGTGTCCTGCTCTGCCTCTGGGACTGCCCACCTGAGGTACTCTGGACACTCAGATGGCAGTACTACATCATGAGCTCCCTCCTACCATAGAGAATATGCTGTTGCAAAAGTTTTTTTTTTCTATTTAAGAGAACCAGCATCCAAAAAGTGGAAAGGTCATTCCAGCCTCGCAGATGAAGGAAGAGAACAATCTGGAGCTGGACACAGGCCATGTGTAATCTTAATGTCTCTTCTCCCTTTCTGGATTGGCATAAGGCCCCACTAGAAGGCAGGGGCCCTCTTCATCTGCACTTGTGTCCTGTCTATCAACAAGCTTCAGACCAGACTGAAGGAAGGAACCTTGGACGAATTTTTAGCACTGAATCTTGTCCATGATTCTGGGAGTAGGGCAATTAAATGGAAATACTGGAAACATCTGGCTCAGTGACAAAGCCTTGTCACCACTGAGAACAGCTATTGGAAGAACCAATAGGAGATGTCCTTTCAACCTTGCCAGGGTATTTACATGGCTTAAGGATTAGAAGGCCTCCTGACCAGAAGAAAAAGAAAAATTTCAAGTCTCTGATACCTGTACCAGATTTCAATTTAAATGTTAGGGTGGCTGTGTGGTGGCAAGCCAATATCTAGACCTCTCAGGACAGCCTGTTGTGTGGCCCAGTGACATAATTGGCAAAAGTGTCTGGCCCATCACAGGTATGGATGTGGAGAATGTCCAGACAGCTAACTCATCCATACTCTCCATCAGTATTGAGCACAGATGAATACTGTGATCATGGCAAACATGGCTCCCAACTGTAGCCTCTGTCCATGCTGTACAGGAGTTCAGATGGGAAAGTAGATGAGAGGAATGGAAAGATGAGGAAGGATAAGGAAGAGAGGGAACAAGATGTATTATGGGAGAAGGAGGAGTGAAGAAATGCAAGGAAGAGGGGGTGGGGCGATAGGAGGGGGGAGGGGACAGGATGAGGGAGTCAAGGGGAAGATGGAGAGAGAGGAGACTGGGAGAGTGTAGGAGGATGGAGAGCAGGGGAGGGAGGTGTTGGAGCTTTGTCTCATGTCCCCAGGGAGATACATGTCTGCAGAGGATCCTGGATTTCAGCTACCTTCTTCCTCTGCAACCATTTTTTGGAAAATCATTCAACAATACTTTATTTCAAAATGATTTCCACAGAAAACAGGCTATTCTGTTTGTGTAGAAGACCTGGCTCAGTAGCTGAGCTGCTGTCTTCTTTTTCTTGATAGAATAGAATGTAGCCCCTTTTTTGGCCATGGATTTACCAGGGAATTGTGGTTCCTGTCCCAAGGCATCTCCTGTCTGATGTGAGCATGGCAGTGATGCCACCTCTCCCAGACAGACTCTGTCACAGTCCTGTCACCTCCTGTCTCCTGCATCAGCACCTGGGCTAGCAATATGTCAATATTTTCCCCCTGTGGAGGGTCAGAAGGAGCAGGCTCAATTCACTTTCCTGGAGCATAGCCCATGGCATCTGAAACTTCCATAGCCATGAGGAGACAAGAGAGAAGAGTTTTATGCACTTCAAAAATGTTGCCTGATTCATCTCCGGTTCCCTAAGAATAATTTCTCACCTCCCCCAAACCAAGACTGCAGGTCATAGCCATTAACACATCTCCTGGGAGGGATCCTTCCTCTGTCCCTAGAAAGAAGATTTCAGTGGCATTACCTGCACACCTGAAGCCAGCTGCCAGTATCTGTGTTAGCTGGGTCCTGATGTTCTCCTTTGCTGTTCATTTCTTCCCAGGAACTCCTCCTTCCTCTTACAAAATGCTGATCATGATAAGCTGTGCTCTGTGCTCACACTTGAGATGGACAGACAGGATGATCTGTGGTGAGAATGACTTGCAGGCTCTATCTTGGAGAAACACCTCCTAGTGGCAAACCTCTAGCAGTGTTCCAAATAACAGGCCTACTGGATGCCCTAATTGTGGCTTCTGTTTCTGTAATAGTTCAAAGGTCAGTCAGTATGGGACAGGTGAGCAGTCAAGGCAAAAAGACAGAGCACCAGTCCTGACTCACTTGTCCCCAGGAAGAGCTGCAGCTAACCTCTGTTCCGGGCTTCCCAAGTCACTCCACAAAGGATACAACTCTATGTCTGTACTCCTTGGTCTTTGTTTTGTAAAGCTATAAAGATTTTGTGAAACTGCTTCCACGTTGGAAAGTGGAATTTGGGTATTGGAAATCTGTGTTCTTGGATCATTGTCCCAGAAAATGGCTACAGAATGAAGGACCTTATTGCCTTCAGGATGAGAGCTGTGTAGGTTGTATCAACAGTGGGTTGAGAGACACTCATAAGGCTGGTGTTAGGTGCAAAGCCATTCTGAAATGGAAGTGCAAGCCCTAAAAGGCAGGGTTTCATCTTGAAAACGAAGTCTAATGGTGATTCTCTGCATACTTGAAGAAAACATTATGTATAGCATATTCCTGTTTTCCTAGAGATATCCTAATATTCTCACAAAATCTGGTACTGCAGACTGGGGCACATAGTTCTCCTTCAGTACAGACAGCCTGATTCAGTTCAATGCATCCTGCCATGAGGTCATATGAAATCTTTTTTTACCCTCTGACATTTTGCTTCTTCTCTTGCCCACTTGTATGTTCACACAGAGAGGGGGTGGGGGGAGAAAGAGAGAGAGAAATAGAGAGAAATAGAGATAGTATGGAAAGAAAGAGAGAGCTGTAGTGATTTAATTCCACAATAAAACATTCTTTTTACCCATGATGTTCCCTAGTTTGATGACATCACTGCTTCCTGGCTTACAATTGTTTCTGAAACCAGGACAGAACACCACCACCTTTCACAGGGCCCTATCCACTGAAGTGTCATGTGCTGGCAAGATTTATGTCAACTCAACACAAACTATGGTCACGGTGAGAGGAAGAAATCTTCACTGACAAATGCCTTCATAAAATCTGGTTGTAGGTAAGCCTGTAGGGCATTTTCCTAATTATATTAATGGACCAAGCTTAGACCATTTTGGGTGCTACCATTTCTGGGGCCAGTGGTCCTGAGGCTTTGTAAGTAAGTATGCTGAGAAAGCTATGTAAAGCAAACCAGTAAGCAGCAACCCCCCATGGATTAAGCATCAGCTCCTGCCTCCAGGTTTCTGTCTGTTTGGGTTCCTGTCCTGATTCTCTTCAGTGATGAACATTGTGTAAGCCACAGAAATCCTTTCCTCTCCTTCTTGTGTACTGGTCATGGTGTTTCACGACAGCAATAGAAACCATAACTGAGACATCCTCTACTCTGTCCACTCATCTCTCCACCCCTACTTGTTTAAGAGACATTGTGTACCTGTCTCCTCAGTGTCTGTCTCCCTCATTGGATCACTGGAGCCTGCTGTCTCTCTATCTTTCTGCAATCTTGGATCCTTCTGAACAAAAGCCCAGGGGGTGCTTCAGGAAGCTCCTGTTGCTCTCCTGGACACCCATGCCACATAAGGGATACTTAACCCCAGTGAAGTATCTTTCTGAGATCCTCTTTTGGGGGACAATCTCATATGAGATCCTGTCTCTAAAGGACTTAGACCATCTCTCCCCTCCCCCTCACCGTGTCTCAGCTCCTATGTTAATGGACTCTTTCTCCTGGTGGGATTCCTCCAGACTTTCCCTTAAGTCTCTCCCATGTCCTCCTTACTCTGAAGTTCTCTGCTGCCACCTTTTCACGGTTATCTTTCTTCTGCTTGCTCTGTCTCTCTCACTTGCTCAGTCCTGGGCTCTTCCCATTCCACACTGGAATCTTCCGTTCCACTTGCTTGTCTCCTTAAGTCTCTTTCCCACCTCAGAGCCAGAACTACCATTAACACTCACCACCTTCTTTTTGACTGCGATGCGTCTTGGCCACAATACAAGCTTGGCACTCTCATCAGGCAGGAAATGCCATATTTGATTATCGGATTCTCACTGATCTTGACATATTCTGCCAAGCCGTCAGCACATGGTCTGAGAGCCCATGTTCAGGCTTTCTTTGCCTCCACCCACCCACTGAGCCCAGTGTCATATTTACCAGATTTACCTGACAAAAACCTAACATCCTCCCCAAGCAGATCAGAACCTTGAGCTTTCAGCTCCATCTTCTTTCAGCTTTGATCTACAGGACACAGCCCCTCCATGGGCCCTGGTGGAGTCTTCAGCCTTCCCTCTGAATCATCCCAAGCAAGGCTACATCAAAGTATGGGGTCTGCTTTATTAAAGCTTGAACCTGTCTTTGCTCCACTCACTGAGCCTTTAGAGTCCTTTGCAAAGATCCATCTGATTCCTCCACGCTCACTGAGACATCTTGTGGCCCTAACATGTGCAGGGGGAATCCTATGCTCTGCCTTGCGTGATCTGCTTCTTGTCAACCTTCTGAACCATCTGTCCCCTCCTTCCTGTTGCTCTAACTTACCGAGTGTATCCTGCCTCAGGACCTTGGCTCTTGCTGTCAGGCCCCGAGAGTCCAGGTTCTGTGTCCATTTGCACAGCTCAGCTGCTCATTTCCTTGAATTCCCAGCTCATGTGGACCTGCCTCACCTCTGCTCTTGCTGTGTCCATGTTTGTTTTCCCTGCATGCTTCTGGAATGCTGTGTTGTGTTGGTCAAGCTTTCCCAGGGAGAAGGTATGTTCACAGGGAGGCACTCTCCTGCCTCATGCACTACTTATGTTCTATGATTGGTACGCAGTTGGTTACAGAAGTCCCAGATAAACCATTCACCCAATTTTGAGAATCTCATCCTAGAAATCCATGCCCCTGCCTCAGATCACAGGCACTTCCATGACTTATCTCTCTCTCTCACTATCATAAACTATTCCCCTGCAGTAGTGGTTCCTCTGTGTTTGAGTTACTTATTGCCAGAATTTGTCATCATGCTAAACTATTCCCTGATGTCGTTCTTCCAAGCGACCTTGGGCAGTCTGGCACTTTCTGAAGTCAAGTTCATATCTGTGTAGGACGAACCAAGAAAAGTTCAGTCTTCCTAGAAGCTGAGTTTCCTGGGAAACATCTTGTCATCGGGGCCTCATCATCAAAAGGACCAGTCTGTTCCCATCTATGCATGGCCGTCAGCCTCAGTGAATGTCCTGACTTGTTGGTAAGACTGAGGCTTCATTCTCACTATATTAACATTCACAAGCTCCTCAGAAATGTATTTCTGAATTCATTCACATATTCCTGCCTTCATTCATTCACTGCTGCTCTGTATCCTGATCTGACCTGCATGCAGAGGATAGATGAGGAACCATAGCTACTGGGTCTAGGAGGTGGGGACAGACACATGGAGATTGTAGGCTTTGATTGCTTATGTGCAGCCAGGCTGGTGACAGACCATCTGGTGTCAAGATTCCTCTCCAGTCCTATTTCCCTTATTTCACTGTGACTTGTTGGTAAGGGTTCTAGTTGTGAACAATGCATTCTCCAAGGTCCCCAAATCTCTGAACTTGAGCTGAACCTGCCCTATGTACCAAAGACTAGTGAAAAGCTGTTTAGTTCCCCAATGAGCCCCTCCTTAAATGGGACCTCAACAGTCAGGACAGGAGGCATGGTAGGCTGCACCTTCCTGGCAGCATCTTGACAGTTTCCCTATATCTGTCCTAGGATTGGAGGTGACAGAGAGCTGACCAGAGCTCTGAGAGGTTCATGCAAATGTTGTAGCTTGAGAGAAGAGAGCAGAGGCACTGGGGGGTGAGGAGCTCCAGCAGGCTGCCCTGAGGAGAATCACCTCTGCTGAGAAGTGGAGAGGAAGGGAAGGGGGAGGGATTTCACAGGGTGTGGGCTCATGCTGGGGGTTCGCAGCAGGAGGTGAGCCTGCATCACTGTTCCCTCCTTCTATCCCCTTTGGTATGCGCTGCTGGAGAGCATGGGTAGTTTTTGGATCT